TTTCCTGAGGTGCTAGAACTGTTGCTAAAACTTTACTAAAACATGTTCTGATTATTTAAAAATCCATTCAGCATTTAGTTTACAAAATACGGCTATTAATTTATTTACTTTAAGATGTATGTGGAGCTGGAGTTTAAACATTAGACATTTCTACTGTCTATGACAGATGTACATTATTCTCTCTGTGTGTGGGCAAATCGCAAAGATAGGAAATCTGTGTAGGTACCAAATTCATACTGTGGGCACTAGATGTTCCTAATGACTCACCGGGTCCATGTGTAATGTGGGACACCCCCATATTTTCTCAGATTTGTGTATTTTTGCGTTTCATGCACTTACGATCTGTATTAACTGACAAGAGGTCGTGGTGTGTTCAAGATGGCAGTAACAAAACTCCCCAGTTCAAACTCAGGAAGGGATGATCTATGGAGTTTACCAGTGTATTTAGTGCATTGTCTAATTTTCACTTCACCAAATACTTTACTAGCATCTACAGAGGTGGCAGCCGATAAGCATAAGAATTGTCTCTAACATTTAGTGAAACACTGCGGGTCATGCCATTTCAACATTTTGAATTACAGTGAGGGGGCAATCCGCACCCTATATAATTAAAACACTTTTTATAGAAAACTATTATGATGAGTAAATTTTTCCTCTCATGAGAGTGTACAGCATTCAAATAAATCTTCACGTACATAATTTTATTTTTTAATGTGTAAAACTGTTCAGATTAACATAAAACAATGTGAACAGAATTTAGATAATGGGATCAATCAAAAGTCATGCAGAGCAATTACCATTGAGATTTGTCCAGGTATTGTGGACATCAATACCTTGTAATGCAATTAAGCAGCCGATGCTTTTTGTTTCTGCTAAATCTGCTTCATAAAACCCTGTCATAAACCATTTGGGAGGTTTTGAATGCTCTGAATGCTAAATCATGAGCACACATTCCTCACAAAGGTCACAGGTGTGACTAATAGAGCTGATCACTTACCATTTGTGTGTTCAGACTGAATGACAATGGCTGCTTAAGAGTAGTGTCATTTGTTGAATAGTGTTTAACACCTTGTTTGCTCTGTTCAGGTGCGGCGGCGGCTCAGGGCAGGGTGTGAAAACAGGTAGAGGAAGGGAATTTCATTGTTTGTGTGAGAATGTCCTCCAAAGACATTTTCTGGCATCAGATGAGTTCCACACTGACATCTGCATTTGTTTAGGTTTAAATCACTGTTGGAGGATTCCTAACAAAGATACAGTGTTATGGTTGATAATCTAACATAAACAAAAGAGCATATGCTCCAGCCCCATGTTTGTGGAATTTACTGTGCTCCTGTTATACACCTGAAATGCCACCATCATCTGTTCCATCTTGGACCACTGTTACACACTCATGCAAACACACACCTGTGGCACTGAAGCGACAGATTGGCCACCTGTGTGTGTGTGTGAGTGAGTGGCCGGGTACAGACCAAGGCAGATTGTGAGTGGGAGCAGAGATGACTGACGCGTCCTGTGACCAATCTGTACACATCTCATGGCTTCTGCAGACTGATTAGCTGTTAGCATTCTCAATGGAAATCCGCAACTTTAAATATGCCAAAAATGTTTAAAGCCTATCACTTGAACAGTAAGGCTGGGCTTTACAGGACTAGGCCTTAGTTCAACTATAGGCATTAGTTTTAATAAATGTGCCTTAGAAAAAAGCAACTTTACTGCAACTTTTTCAGCAGCCTTTTTTTTTTTTTTTTTTGATTTGTCATGTACTATGTTAGCCTGGTTCAACCAGACTCTAGTTCATTTAATTTCCACATAGAGTCTGGAACCGCTCCATTGAAAAACGTTTCCTTCCTTGTAGGCGGGTTCACTATTAAAGTTCAAATCTATTGGATCTGCCCAAAGTCACTCACGATCTGCCATTCGCCTTATTCACTTGGCGGCCATTTTGAAAATGGAACGCCGCTGAGGGGTACACTCACCCAGAAGGATGCATGCGACGCAGCAGCACCAGCAATGAAAACTCGCAGTGCGGACCACCAATCATTCCTGTCTGCCCGAATTAACGATGCAAAATGTGAAGCAAAGTGCCAGTGACTGAAACATCCCCCGGGCTGTGTTAATTAAGGGATACAGTACCTGTATCGGAGGTTTTATCCACGAGTCACGACATTGAACGTAAGAATGGACGCCAATTTACCTCAGTTTCTGCAAGCTTGTAGGAAGTTGACTGTGTACTATTAGAATCTATACAAATCCATTACCATCATTATTTTTATTCTTTATGAATCTATACATATATGTAAACTTGTATTGTCACCATAGCAGCTTATCATTGTCAGTGTGTAACAGGATCAGTCCCTGTCAGACCTTAAAATCACTTCTCCTCTTTCCTTTTACATACATGTGAGTGATTTGATTGTTTTACATGCATGTGTGTGTATGTAAGCTACTGGATGTGAATAAACAATAAAGTACAATTGTATCTAACATAGTAACTTACACAGTCAACAACTCCATATTACAGCTTAGCTTACTAACGTTAATTACCTCTGGCTGCTGCAAGCTCGCAGAAACTGGCAAGGCGTCCATTCCTACGTTCAATGTCGTGGATAAAACCTCCGATACAGGTACTGTATCCCTTAATTAACACAGCCCGGGGGATGTTTCAGTCACTGGCACTTTGCTTCACATTTTGCATCGTTAATTCGGGCAGACAGGAATGATTGGTGGTCTGCATTGCGAGTTTTCATTGCTGGTGCTGCTGCGTCGCATGCATCCTTCTGGGTGAGTGTACCCCTCAGCGGCGTTCCATTGTCAAAATGGCCGCCAAGTGAATAAGGCGAATAGCCAATCGCTAACGGGGTGTCGTGAGTGACGTATGTCACGCGCCGAAATGGCTGGAAACAACAAGTCCGAATGATCAGAGGATTATGTTTACAATAGGATTTCAGTCAACGAGCGCCGCAGGTTTTGTTAATCTAGGAACAATTATTAATTCGAAATGTATATTTGACACGAAGGACAGTGATATATTCATTCAATGGTGGAAGCTGTGTCTAATCATTACAAATACGCCGCTGTGGTCGTTTCTGATCTGCCGCAAATGCTGTAGCAGCTACAGTGAATGATCAGTCTGTCTCTATCTGCAGATGTGTAATAAACAACAATTTTTCATATTACGTCTTATTGTTTCTTAATTACCTTAATTATGGTCTTCAAAGTATGTGTTTGTACATTTTTATGTGGCATTTATTTTTTTTAGTAAAACAAATCAACCATGCACGAGTGCACAAGGGCTCAAAATGTTCTATTCATCACAAGAATCAGCACATTTACAGTTGGGAATATGAGGGACTGACATGACTCCTGAGCGGATCTTCAACAATAGTTTAGCAGCCAGGACTCGGGGCTTCTGAACACCGCGAACACCAGGCTAAACCACCCGTCCAAAATGTCACGGTCATCGTGCACGAACTGCCCAGCACAAACTTCCAAACTTTCTGCCTCCTTCACTTGGTCCTCAGTTGTGCAACAAGAGGTGAGACGATAACAATCCGGCTTTAAATTCTATATATTCGGCAGTTTCTTTTCCAACAACGGACCGAATAGCTTTTCTCACGTCTTTCTCCGCTGCCATTACTGAATTGAAACTGACGTGCTTACATCAACGTCATCTTTCTCAGCCACTCCCTCTATTCGCTGATTGGTCCTACAAAAAATTGGTTTCTGGAAACCTAAGGATATGGAGCGATCCCAGACGCAGTACAGAAGTAAAATGAAATTGAGCGGAAGTGCGTAGGAGGGCGCAGCCAGGCTAGTACTATGTGTGACTGAATTGATAAATATGGTAATCCTTTTGTTTATTAAACATTCACTACAAGCCATAAGATATAACCAGTTTAGATGGAAAGGATTTGATATGTTTTAGCTTACCTCAAGGGCATCCAAGATGTAGGTGTCTTTGTTTCCACAGCATTTTAAATTTTTACATTTTTTGGGTCAAACCGTTGTTGTCTGTCAGTCCTATAATGCAATTTTTAGGGGGTCCACCTCAAAAAGCATGCACAGAGAAGTCAAAATTAAACATGATTTAATGACTCGTGATTCGTGAATGTAAGTAGCCTACACTGATGGCCAAATGACACAAAATGAGTGGTCTCGTGTGAAAAAACGAACAGTATTTATATAGTTTTTACCTCTTGTTAACAGCCGTCGAACTGATCTGAATCAGATGTCCAACTGAACCATCTCCATCTCCGTCACGTTACGCCGGAAGTGATCTCTCGCGCGTCTATGTCACGCATTGTTTACACAGAGATTTCGGAAGTTTTACCTTTCACTAAACATATTTAGATATATCGAAATCGTCTTCCATTGCGATTTTCCGTATATCTATCATGTTTATTCTCTCATTATTATGATAAAAGTTTCTCATTAAGGCTTACAGAATTTGTATATTTTTTCCTCAACTGTGGTGGAAACGGGCTTCCATAATTCTCTGGGTATGCGGGATTACATTTCATTCTGCTGTTGCTGAGCTTTAGCTTTGTTAATGAAGTTAAGCTTTGGTTGAAGTTAACTTAATGTTCTTATTTTTCAGTAGCAGATGTGAGAACATGAAAATCTCAAGGTGAGATTTTTAATCGTCTACAGAGGAGAGGAGTAGAACATGAGTAAAGGACAAGCTGTCTGGCAAAGACCAGATGTCCCATGAGTCAGACGAGCAAATGAGAGCTGTAAAAAATGGAAAAAGAGGGAGAAATAGAGAAACTGACAGATCTAGAAAGAGTGAAAGAAGGAAGGGGAAGAGAAGGTGACTAAGTTGAGGCACCATGTGGAGGCAGAAGCTCCTACGGATGATTCATTCATGTGAATGAGAAGAGTATGTGGCTGCTGCTGCCACCCAGTGGCCAAAGGGGGACCGACAACACCAGCCTACAAATCGTTTTCAGCCTACACATCGATTAAATGAACTCACAAGAAGAAGACAACATTTTCATGCATTTTTTCTCTCTACCGTTTTTATTCAGATGAGTGAAACACTTCCAGTTACAAAAATGACTTTAAATGAACAACACTGTACAATGAACAAGCGATTTATTTGTCAACTATTTTTTGGTTTCAGAGATAATTACACTGAAAGGCTAACCTGTCACCATAAGGAGGAAAAGAGACACGGAGGACAGAAGAGAAGAAAAAGGAATTGCTCAACTCAAAGGAGAAAAAAAAAACTAAGACTGGAAAGGGTAAAAACATGGAAACGTAGCCTACATCATACAAACAAAACAGACGTAGCCTACTACACGTTCACGCACATATCCACACTGCCAAAATAACTGCATATCTGCTCTGTTTTAGAGTGTAAAATACGTTTACGCGCACATGAGCACGTATGACGTACCCACATGCTCTCCTTTAGTGAGCAGAGAACATAAAATCAGAGAGAAGATTCAGGGGACAGATCAACATCACTAACCCCCACAAAAAATAAAAAAGTATCACAAACATACTAAGTCATCATGAAGATTTGTCCCTAAATAATGAATAATTAAAAATATACATTTCATCATGATCTTCATCGTATGTTACTTTGGATAGTTGAGGATTTACCTTCAGAAACTGGGTTGCTAGGTGACCAGGGAAAGAGACAAAAGAAAACAGCTGAGGGTGTGTTAGTGTAGCTCTTTGGTTTAACTAGATGTGTATAAGTTATTTGCTATTTAAGAAAAAAAAAACTATTTAAACACCTTTGGACTGAAGCTGGTATTTTTTAAATTCTTTTTTTAATGTATGTATATATTGACAGAGATAAATCAGAGAGTGAAGTGAAAAGGAAAAGACTTGCAGTTCTCTTGGTCAGGCCTTTTCAAATAATGCTATGATTAGTTTTTTCTTTTTCACCCTTATGCGATTGTTACTGATTAATAAAGTGAAAACCAATGCGAATCAAACTCAAGGACTGTGTACAGACTTTAGGGAGCGTGTGTGTTGTGTTCGGACATCGAATGGCCTGTTGCTTTGGTATCATTCTCTAAAGATTTACGCCACTGAGAGCCTTTTTACACTTTGAACACGGTCCCGCCCACTCTCAGTCATCTTATATACATAAACATGCACATTAAGTGTGTGTACAATTATATTAAAAAGGTGTGTGTATGTATCCTGCCCTGTTTGGTGACTGGAAAAGTGGTCCCAAGGGACGAAGGAGTAAACATGGCAGAGCATCAATCTTTTAATTAAGTTCTTTGAGTGCTTTCATCTTCATCCCTGTAGTTGGTTGCATAAACTGACTAGTTTTACAAGTTAAGCCCAGTTTATACTTCTGCGTTGAGTTTACGCATGAGGTACGGTGTAGCCTGCGCATAGTCGTTTACCCTACACCGCACACTAACAAGCACCTCCCCCAAAATGTAACTATACATCGCCACAATGCAGACCACAATATCTGTGATTGGTCGGCTTGGTAGCATCGCATTTCCTCCTAAACATTTCCAGCGTGTTCTTCTGCGACGCCATTTTTAAGTTCAGTGAACAATATGGCGAACATGGACATGGACTAAGTGAGCAAGCGATTAATTGAAGAGGTGCAGAAATACAGGTATCTGTAAGTATCTTCAGCCAAATACAAAGATTGCTAGATGGCAGCGAATTCGTGGAGAGAGATTTCCTCTGAAGTTGTTTTGGAGGTAGCTGAATGCATGAAGCGAGGGAAGAACTCCATCTTTTTATGTTCGCGTAAGTAAAAAACTCGCCACAAGGAGTGGGGACCCAGGCAGGAAAAAAGTCCTGGTGTTTTTATTTCTTTGTCTTGGCTGGCACCCCATAGCCTGGTTCAACCAGACTCTAGTTCATTTCATTCAGAAGTAAAATGAAATTGAGCGGAAGTGCGTAGGAGGGCGCAGACAAGCTAGGCACCCCATGTGAAACACAGAAATATAAATGCTCATGCGGCGTCAGCATACACTCGACACAGACGCATAAATTGGTCTTTAGTAATCAAATTTTTCACTTTAAGACTGTTTTTAAAACGTTTTTAAATCAGTTACATAATGTTGATACCGAACAGTAAGACTGATTACCCTTAACTTACTGCTAGTTGGTCATACTAATTCTTAAGACACAGTCTTAACATAATGGCTATGCTTATACAACTGACCCCTGCTAATCTTTCATCGAAACATTCCCTCGCCAATCCGAACACGCGTCCTACAGACGGATGGACCACGCTTCTCCGTTTTAAAACATTCATCTATTTGGTTTGTTGTTTAGAGAGTGAGGTATATATGAGGAAATATCTCTCTTCCACACCCCCATAGCCAGGAGACAGAACAACAGACACGCTATAAAATAAATACAAAAAGCAGGATTAGAAGTAGGACAAAGAGGAGGAGGAGGAGGAGTGAGGCAGAGACGAAGATGGAGCACGGATACATTTCCGCTGCTATCATACAATACATACATTTTGCTGTATTTTCTCTCCAGGAACCCCAAATGCCCCCATCTTTTCTCTCCTAAAGTTTTTGGTTTTGTAGCTGTTTAAAGCTTTCAGGTCAAGGCTCACGGCAGCACTGCGCTCAACGCCATCACACACACACATGCACACAGACATGGTAGCCATCACAACAGTAACCATAGCAACACGATCGGTAACATCAGCAGTGGTGAGACAGGTACTGTACGTTCATACACAATGCAGGTTCCTACAGAACCGTATCCCTTCTGAGCCATGGCAGTGCGTGCTTTTACTCTGGAAGGTTACTTCAGCATTGAATGAAAGCTACCGAAACATTTGAGCAGAAGAAGCACAGTGCTGCATTTTCCCCTGATAGGTTTCCCTCCACAGGCTCTGTCCAGTAAGGAACAGCTAAGAGGTCGAGAAGACAAGTGTCCACCCCCAGGCTGTCGATTAGTGGCCGGTCCGTTCGGACCGACGGTTGCATTTGTCGATGGATTTGGTTTGAAAGGTCGCCTTGGCAAAGGAAGTTTACATTTGAATACAATCTGGTGCCTCAAACACACCCACTACAAAACAGCATTTGGAATATATTAAATAAATAAAAATAATATGAATAATAAAAAAGGTCTGTTAAGAAAATTCACAAACGAGCAAGAGGAGAATAAATAACAAAATCAATTTCTTTAAAACGGGGGAGGAAGAAAACAGAAAAACCCAAAAGAGAGAGAGAGTGTGAATTTTTGGTCTAAGTAAATATCAACATTTTTTTTATCTTTTCACAATGTTTTCTTCCATACATAAGCAATTAGTAAGCATTATAACATAGATCATTTACTACAAAATCTAGAGAAGCACTAACTGACCCATTCGGACTATACAATAACGTAGAGAACGTAGAGTTCATGTATCTATCCCTCGTTGAACCTGCAGCGCTCACCGACTACAGATTTCGGCACGATATAAATACAACGGTAAGGTGGATGAGAGCATGTGAATAGTTGTGTATGGGATATTTGGTTCTCTTTAAAGCTTGTTTATACTTGACTTTGGTTCTTTGGATGTACTTGAGCATGTTTATCCTGGTTTCTTGTCTGTTGAACTGATTTCACAGTATTGTTTCAACCACCTGATTAGAGTCTCTAACACAACTAGATAGGAACAAGTAAGGAACGTAAAAAAAATGAGATTTCCGCAAATACGTGAATTCCTTTTTCCCAAATGAAAGCACACAAATCTACATACACAGCTGAGAAGAGCCCCACAAAACAGACAGACGGAACGAAAGAAACAACCCTCCCAACCCCCAAATGAACCCGAAACATCTTCATCTTCAGATGAGTCCAGTGAGGTCATCAAAGATCCCGCCACCCAGGACCAGAAAGACTTTGAATGACAGAAGGTGGAGCCAGATCCCTTGCTACCCGGTTCTGGGTGACCTCGGTCCAGAGATGCATGAAGGGATGCTGTTTTTTTTTTTCTGTACAGTGACTCGTTTTGCGCCTCGATTCGTTTTTGGCTTGGTTTATTTTTGTTTTTCCTTTCTGGGAAGTTTGGCTGGCTGTGAAGTTTCACAAGTTTTTGGTTTGTAGAAGAAGCAGAGAGGATAGGAGCCCTTTCACATGCGACAGATCCCACGACATGCTGTCTTACCAGAGCGGCCTTGTCAAAGTTTGGGTCCCCGATCTCTTTCTGCATCATGTGAATGGTGAATGGATCATGTATGAATGAATCGCTTTGGTATTGAAAAGGGACAAAGTGAGTGAGGGAAGCATGCAAGCGCTTAATTATTAAGAGAGAAATGAGAGTATTTACACGTAGAGCAGTGAAAGCTATAGAGAGAGGAGCTTGGTCTCACTTTTATAACACTTTACGACATTCATGTCATTGGACAAACAAGTGTATCAAGCAATGTGGTGCTATTAGGATGAACATCAAAGACCAAACACCCAATTCTCTCTATACGCTCGTTAAGACGTAATGATGATGATAATAAAACTTTGATGTACTGAATGTACGTTTAATAAAGACAAATGGAAAATCTGCTACTTCTGAGAACAAAAATAGACTAGAACGAGGAAGAACCAGAGAAACACAAGAACGTTTGAGCTCGACTTGCTCATATTTTATGTTGAAACATTGAATCATAGAAACTGAAAGAAAACGATATGATTGCATGGAAAATGAGATGATGAGCTCAGAGATGGCTGGATTGTTGTCACTGGGTCTGGTCCTGGACGGTTGGCTATTTACAGGTCCTTTGGATAAAGCTTTTCCATCTGTATTTTTTGGTGTTTGTTTTTGGTATTTGAGATTTTGGTATGCTTGTATTTCTTTGTCATAGCGAGTCTCTCAAAGTTCCTTTTATACTTTTTGGTATTCACTATTCCTCATTTTTTTTCAAAGAGTTGTTCTACAACATAGTAAAGTTTGTACTTTTTGTTGTTTTTGGTGCTCAAGGATCTCTTTTTGTCCTCTTGTCTCACTACACTACTCACATAGTTTTTTCTTCTCCTTTAATTTACGTATTTGGCTGTGTCCCGCTAAGCCTCATGGTGTTTTTTTTGGTTTCATTTTCCCTCTTCTCTTCTTCCTTCCTCCTTCAACTCTGTCTCTCCATCTCTCCCCTCTTCTACTCTTGTGTATTTTTGGCATCAGTAGAGTGGGAGAGCGGAAGAAAGAGAGTATGAACGAGAGGAAACGAAAGGGAGCGAGGGGATCAAGAGATGCTTTGGTTGACAGGTAAGGTTTCACCTCCCCCTTCTCCTCTGTTTGTGATTGGACTTGGGCAACATCACTCAATTTTAGCCCCTCCGATCGAGTGCGGGCTGTGCAGCAATTCACCGGAAGAGCAGGAAGAGATGGGGCTCGAGCAAGGGGAGGGACTCATGCCGCCTGCGACAGGAAATGAGGTTTTGCCAACAGCTGAACCGCCCAATCCCATGCCGGGGCCTGTTGCCATGGGCAACAAAGAGGAGTGGTTGAGAAAGAGGGAAGAGGTAAGACCTGCTCCTTGGGCCCCAGAACCACCAATTAACACCTTGCTGCTGCCTTCAAGACTGGAAATGGGCAGCTGACCACCACTGGCTGCTAGGGCTGTGGAAGAGACGCAGTATTACTCTCAAACATCAACAACAACAATATGTGACACGAGAAACAGGATGCACTAGTGCCGTGTGAACAGATGAACAATGTGAGAAAAGAAGAATAGGAGTGGTAAGATGTAAACAAACACTCAAACAGAGAGGACAAAGTAACACATGACTGATATGAGGTGGTAAAGTCATCAGTCTCTCTCACCCTCCCTTTCGCACAAACCTTGAATAGTAGCAAGTGGGTTGCTGCCAAGAAGAGCTTGGTTCATTCCTGTGTTAATGCTCCTCATCGTATTCCTGAGTCACACAAACAAATAACCATCCCACAAAACACACAGAAAGAAATGGAAAACAGAAAGGAATGAAGGGAAAAGGAGAAAACATTTCGAAGCATAGTTAAGAGCTGGAAAAACAGTGCAAGAAGACAAATCTTTGCAGAATAAACATTGCTTTTCTTGTAATACAATGCAGGTCACGTATACCAGCAGAACTCAGTGACGCATCAGTCCGTAACAACACTTACACTAAGATGTAGTGGGATTTTACTAAATCTTTTGAACGAATATGCAAAATCTCTAAACAAATATGCAAAACATTGTAGCACTTAGCGTACTGTCTGGATACTAAAATAAAAAAAAAAAATACATATACTGTACATTATCATTTTTTTAAATATTAAAACAAATACATGATTTATTATAAATATTTTTTTATGTAATTTATTTAATCGATAACTATTTAAATAAAGGTGTGTTTACTTTATAACAAGGCAAGGCCTATATAAACACTACTATTAATAAGTTTGTGGTCAGTCATTTAAAAAAAAAAGAAATTAATGCCTCTATTAAGCAAATGATCAAAAGTGAAAGTAAAGATTTTTTAAATTTCTATACTATTTTTACACTGTTACAAAATGTATTCTCTATCAAATAAATGCTGTTCTATTGAACATTATATATATCAAAGAATACTGAATAAAATATATACGATAACTGTTTTTAATATATTTTTTAAAATCTTGGGAACCCCAGAGTAGTTTTTTGAACAGTAGTTTATATATATATATATATATATATATATGATAATATCATGTATTATAAAGAATTATATAACATTAATTATAATTAAAATAAAGAATTTAATATCGTGATATCTAATATTTAACTTTGTAAATAAAGAAAAATAATTTCACTGCAATTAATTGCTAAAATCGTGATATTGAGACAACAGACAACAGTGGTTCTCACTGTGTGTATGTTGTCCTAAATAGTCAATATCAAAAACAAAGCCAATTTACCTATGTGTGTTTATTTTATAAATATTTTATTTTATATGTGTATATGTATAATATTTTATGTGTGTATGTGTGTGTGTTTGTAATAACACAGACTCTGCTGGTTGCAATCACCTCAAACTTGCAGCAAAGTCAGTGATGTAGTTAGAAACGTCACCATTCTTTTTATGCCATGAACTGCGGATAACAAAACCACACACAAAAATACATTTGCACACACACAAACACTGCAGGTACCTAAATTTGCTGAGCCAGAGGGAGTAAAATGTGACGAGGAAGAGCATGTGTGTGTGTGTGTGCATGAGAGAGAAATCAACTCACCCTGTGTTCAAACTTAGCGTACTGTGAGTTGGAGGGGCGGGGCTGGCATCCCCACGTGACGGCGGGGTTACAGGTGAAGAGGCGGAGCTTAAGGTGGGTCCGCTTGAGGTCAAAGGGCAAACTGATGACATGGTGGTCACTGACAGAAGGAAAAAATAACAGATGGAGCATCCATCATATATATACTAAACAATTATATTTGTCTATGATCAGCAGATGTCCACTTATGCACTGTACCTGCTGTGCTAAGACTGCTCACTGTCTGGGATAGTCCCTGACTGGACATCTGTAAGGAAGATGTGTATATGATGTCACAGTTCAAAAGGGAAACATGATGGACAAAGAGTATTGATGGGTGAAAAAGAGGAAAGGGAGAGAGGCCGGTGTCAAACACTGGAAGGTCTGTGCTCCGTTTGTAGATGCTACTCACTCAGTTATACAAAACTTCAACTACACTGAGTTTCAAAGTTAGTGAATACATGCAATATTCCTCCAAAAAAAAAAAAAAAAAAAAACATGTGTAAGTAACAGAGGTTCAATCCTCCTATAGTATTACAACAATGACAGTGAACTAGTTGCATAAATTGGGTATGAAGGAATGGATTATTCCACATTAAAACGCAAAGCAATGCAGGGCGGGTAAAATCACATTCAGGAATGGATGGTGTACAGTATGTGCCATTATGGGCATGATTATTATCGACTGCTCATGCAGGAGAAACTAGTAGAGTGTTGTGGCACAGGGTCATTTGAGATGGAGGTATGAGCCAAGGGAGCAAGCCAGGTCGTACCATGTGCGGGCTGTAGCAGGGGGGTTTGTGCGAGGTGGGCTGGGGTTGGCTGGGCAAGGGAGGGGTGGCACTGGAGGGGTTAATACGTTTCTCTTTCTGTCGGCGGTTGCAGAACCAGACGCGGATCACCTCCTTCTCCATGCTGAGCTTCTCTGAGATGAGCAGGATCTCCTCTGAGGTAGGCTTCTGGTTCTGAATGCAGAAAACACAACCGATTCAGAGGTATATGAATGTTTATTTGGTTATACACTACCGTTTAAAAAGTTTGGGGTCAGTGTTTTTTTCTAAATATAAATATATACATTTTAGAAATTAATACTAAAAAAAGATTTCTGAAGGATCATGTGACACTGAAGACTCGAGTAATGGCTGCTAAAAATTCAGCTTTGCCATCACAGGAATAAATTACATTTTAGATAAATAATTATTATATTTTCCACTGCTTTGGTGTGCATACAAGACCTCTTTTTTAAAAAAAAAAAAAAATCATACTTTTGAACGGTAGTTTATGTTGTGCAATAGTTTTGTAATTACGTGTTCTAACCGTGATGAAGCTGCGTTCCAGAGCGATGCGGACGTTGGTCTCAATGCTGGTGCGTTTCTTCCTGCGGCGGCCAGGCAGGCCCTCAAACCCCAGCGAGGGAGAGGAGAGAGCACTGGGACTCGGCAAGGTGCAGTCCATTGACATTGTTTCTGAGTAAACCAGTAACGAAACAAATTTTAAAATTTACAAAATGTTATATAAAACATTTTGTGGTTGACAGTCTATTTTTACATTCTATGTTTAAATGGGCTTTATGCCCAGCTGCACTACTTCCTGAACTTCAGCCAGCTCCTTGTTTCCTGTCTGCCATTATTGGCCAAATTGATTAATTCAGGTGTGTCTGATTATTGTTGCCATGACTACTGAGATCAGGTACACCTGAATTACTCAATTTGGCCAATAATGGCAGACAGGAAACAAGGAGCTGGCTGGAGTTCAGGAAGTAGTGCAGCTGAGCATAAAGCCCATTATAAAGTAGCCAAAATGCCACTTAATATGTGGTATTATTGTATCGTACAGGACATGCGTTCAAGACTGATAGAAACTTGTGTAGAATTAGATTGATAGCTGTTAAATCTGATGGAGCTCTTTGCGATGGTTACCTGCGTCATTCAGCCACTTCTCCAGCAGAGGTTTGAGTTTGCACATGTTCTTAAAGCTGAGATTGAGAGCCTCAAATCGAGAGATGGTGGTCTGACTGAAATCATTCCCATAGAGTTTCCCCATGGCCATTCCCACATCACCCTGTAGGGGGAAACAGAGACCAAACCTTACTTTACAAGGAAATAGAGGGAATGGATTGAAGTCGGAGCAACCCCCCTCAGCCTGACTGATTGGCAAAAGATCTGCTGCGTGACTGGATTTAATAGGAGAAACTGCGAACATGCGACTAAGACGAACAATTTTATCAATTTAAGCCAAATGTTGGACTCAATATAGTGTTCCTTACAACTTACTAAAGATCCAGTGATCCATGGATATATTGACATGCAGCCAGGAATTGTGTTGCCTGACATTTATGTTTGCCTGATTTCGACACCGGGGAAATAAAAGCAAGACCTAAACATAAAGCAAATTTGCCTGTGAACGCTTTATATAATATAGGGTGTCTAAATCCGGGTGATCACTTATATCAGTGTTATAAAACTTTATAGGTTTTTTTTGGTCAGTGTTTATTAAAAAACATCCAATAATGCTGAATATGCAATGATAAATATTTAATTGATGAGTTGTTAATATATATATATCAATACAAAATATATGGGTATGGTTTTACACCTAAATTCAGCATATTGGCGCAAAATTATAACTGCAAATCCACCTTTCGCTGACTGGAGTCCAGTTGTGAATTGCAGCGATCCATTTGCTCCTCTTTCTATAGTAGTCTGTAAAAATGTACCTCCGATTTTTTGTCAAATCTAGTTGTACAGTCAATCGCAAAACTCTATCCCACTTTATATGTGTTGTGTTTGTTTTTCGCGGCAATTCACACTGAAAACAAATACAGCCGCTCAGTCTTTTTGCCACTCGCTAAAGGGTGCCATGTGCGTAGTATTTCGACGAAATGTCATATGGCGTCATGACGCCAAAGGATGAGAATGTGCTCTATACAAATATTCTGTGTGTGTGTGTACCTGTGTGAAGCCCAATTTGATCCTTCTCTGCTTGAAAGTGCGGGCAAATTGCTCCAGTTCCTCCAGGTCACTGGGCTCCTCAGGGTGAGAGGTCACTTGCGTCACTGTGTTCGCGCTGCTCTCTGCAACCTTTTCTCTCTGCCACAAACAAGACAAACATCAAGATGAGAGAATAGCACAGAATATAGTATTGTGCACATACACCACCGTTCAAAGGTTTGGGTTTGGTAAGATACTGTTATTTGTACGGGGTGGGAAAGAAGGTTTATGAAAGACATCCTTTACCCTGACTAAGGCTGCATTTATTTGATCAAAAATACAGTAAAAACAGTAATCTTGTGAAATATTAGGGCGATATAAATAACTATTTTAATATACTTTAAAATGTTATTTATTAAGCTGAAATTTCAGCATTACCCCAGTCTTCAGAGTCACATGATCCTTCCAAATTCAAGGTAATATTTAGGTAACCTATTAATAAGTATGCTTAATAAGTCTTTACTATCACTTTTGAACAGTTAATGCATCCTGGCTTAATAAAAATAGTTAAAAAATGTTATTATTATTATCTTTAAACTCTTACTATCCCCAAATTTTTGAACCGTACTGCTTATTTTACTACAAATGTAATCCACACAAATGTACAAAGTGTACAGACATTATTGCGTTTTTCTTGTTTAAAAAGGAACTGAAAAATAATGACAATTCTTTTACAGTTACTTTATCAGTTATTTTATTCCGTTGACAACAATAATATTTGTAAAGGGTCAATGAGAGCACTAATATTTTGTTCTATACTATGGAAGTCAATGGTTATCGTCAACTGTTTGTTACCTATACATGCAGAATAGAGAAATTCATACAGGTTTGTAACAACTTGAAATATCTTTGCAAATACCCATTGGAACTTGTTTATGTGCCCTCTGACATATGTTAACCTCCCAAATATGTGGGTCTTTCATTAGATGATGTACCTGTGCTTGAAGACTAAGTCTTGGTGGACCGGCCAGCAGGCTTCCTTGGTTTTGCTGAGGTAGTGGAATTAGATTTGGTGTTGATAGCAGCCCTGAAACACACACAACCATATGATTATATTAATTACCCATAAATCTGATTGACAACCACAGTTTTTTTTAATCCAATCAAGATGCCTTGAAAAATTTTTAAAATAAAGTGATAATAATAAAAGTACTAATTCATTAAAATAATTTTTGTTTTAAACCACTGGATCATGACACCTGACATGCAACAAGTCTAGCTTTAAAAGGGATACTCCACGTTTTTTTTTTGGAAATAGGCTCATTTTACAACTCCCCCAGAGTTAAACAGTTGTGTTTTACCGTTTTCGAATCCATTCAGCCGATTTTCTGATAGAGGAATATCAGTAACCAGACAGTTTCTGGTCTCATTGACTGCCATAGTATATTTTTTTCCTACTATGGAAGTCAATGAGACCAGAAACTGTCTGGTTACTGATATTCTTCTACATATCAGGAAATCGGCTGAATTGATTCGAAAATGGTAACTCTGGGGGAGTTGTAAAATGAGCCTATTTCCAAAAAAAAGTGGAGGATCCCTTTAAGTGAAGAGGGACAAATGACCTGACATAGGAAACTTATTTAGGGCACCGCATGAGTGTACACATAGTTAATGAGCTACCTTGCTGCCCTTGCTGCGTTTGTGGTAAAAGAAACTGTGAAGGCAGAGTGTGTCCTGGAACGAGGACTAACTGCTGCAGCTGTAACAACTGCTGAATGTCCTGAAAGAGAGAAAAGAAACAGATGCTGAGAGGACATGATAGTTTCACTCTGATCTGAGGAGGGAATTCACTGAGAATAAGCACTGTTTAGTGAATTTGTCCCTTGTATCGCTTCAGGTGCTGCTCAGCACTGATTGGCTGTACCTGGGCAGTGAGCTGGATTGGCTGAGAAAGAGGGAGCTGGTGAGGAGGAGGCGGGACGGGGGAGGCGGTTTGTTCTTGTGTGCTCTGCGATTGGCCATGTGACTGCGGCTGAGCTGCCTGCTGATTGGCCTGCTTCTGGGCCTGCTGTTGATTGGCTGCGTGGGCCGCATGTGACTGCTGCACAGCTGCAGCGAGGAGCTGCGCCTGCTGTAAGAGCAGCTGTTGCTGTGCAGGCAAAAGTGCAGTCAACTAGTGAGAGAGAGGAAGAGAGAGAAGGAAAATGTGGTGAAAATAAGAGTTAGAAAAGTGGATGAAAGAAGGGTAAGCAAGGCAAGCAAGCTCACGCAGGAACCCACACAGACACACATGAGAAGCACATGTCAGAAGTAAGTGTGTGTTTGTCTCACCCCTGCGAGCTGGCCACCCGTTAGCATCAGCTGTGTGTGGGAAAGGGCCGTCTGAGCGGGTGCAGCGGGAGACATCTCACCACAATCCTCCACCTTAGCCTGAGACAGAGACAGAGAAATGTTCATGATGAATTCATGGGTTAAAAGAGACACGGGGAGTGGGCTTATTTAAATGAGGGTGACAAAGGGAGGATAATGAAATAATAAAAAGAGGTGGAAAACCTGTAAACTGCGAAAAAAACAAAACAAAAAAAACTTTGGTTTCACTTTATTTTGACACTTCTGTTGACTATAAGTAACGTTGCATGTCCTACATGTCCAGTAACTCTCACTAGAGTGTTGGTAGACTATTAGTTGACTAGTAGGGTTAGAATAAGTTTGACTTATTCTGTATTTGCAAAGTTACTTATAGTCAGTAGAATGTCTGTTGGGGAGCATCAAAATAAAGTTTTAGCGGATATTGAGCAAACAGTCTACTAATGCTCTAATGAGAGTTAGTTGACATGTAACACATGCAGCGTTACTTATAGTCAACAGAAGTGTCAACAGGGACCGTCAAAATAAAGGTTTTCCCCCTAACTTTTAATCAAATTGCCTTCAGAAGCGGTTTTAAATTGGCCATAACCCACAAACAAGAAAATGTGCCGATCTGTGCAGACTCACTTAAAACACTCAGATACATTTACACACATTTACTCACTTTGTTGCCGCTACTCAGTGTGGGTGAAAGGGAGAAAGGGTTGATTTTCATCAGCTGAACCTGTTGGAGGGAAACACATTGAAAATATGATTCATTTTTTTTAATGCTGTATCTAGATAAAAGATAACAATGGTACCAGTCACTTACCTGATTATTTGAATCTGAGCCATTTCTTTCTGAATCTGAGTAAAAAATAAGAGAAATACAATAAGAGAAGTCAATGTATTAGTTAATTTGGTAAATGTAAGTTTTAGTTAGTTGGTTTGTTAAATGTAGTTATTTTTACATAGAAGACTTGGCAACAAACATAACAAAATACATGTATAATTTTGATTCAATATAATGTTAAAACATTTAATTTATTTATTTATCTTGTTGAAAAAATTTCTATTTATATTGTTAACATAAAAATATGCTGCAAATATAAAATACTTATTTTTGAAGATGTTATCAGGGCAAGTAAATATCTGAGCGGAAAAACGTTTTTGTTGAGCCCTGTTTCAGACATACAGAAATATAATGAAGCTCCATACCTGTGCTCTCCATCGGAGAGTCTGCCGCTGGATTCTCAACCTCTACTGGCTTTGACATTCTGATATCTGAAGAAAAAAAAAAAAAGTCAGAGCGGTATAGAATTAGTCATGAGCTGATGAATTTCTGTTTAACACAAGAGTGGTGATGTTTTGAGGATGATAAATGGAAGTTTAACCAACACAAGTGTTATATTTGCAATAAAACATTTTTTTGTTGATAGAGTCAGGTTTAGATTCCTTCATTCTCCAACAAGTGGAGACGTGATTAATCCGTGATTAATCCAACAAACAACTATTAATACATCGCCACAGACGTGTCACTTCAAATTTAACTGTAACCGAGCCAATGGGACTGTCCCAGACACTCAGCGGAGAGAAACGGAGTGTACAAAGTTAACGTGTTTGAAATATATCTTATAAGAATATTAATTACATTTTTAAAAGGGTTTTATGAAGTTCTAGTCTACATTGAAGCAGGCAGATTCAAATACATATATTCCAAGTCAGAACACACAACTGAACATGTGCGTGTGTTTCTGATGCATTCAAGCCAATTCAGTTTATTTGTATGGCATTTTTTTTACAATACACATTGTTCAAAGGAGCTAAGCGGCATCAGAGGTATAAGCAAAAGAAATTTTTGTCTCTCAAATAGATGTGCATAAACACACACACATGCTCACTCACACACAGAAACACTCACTTCCCTTTTGTGAAAAATGCAAATAAAGCCAACGACTGACTAATAATATCACCCACCTGCATATACCACTATCTCGTCTGAGCCTCTTTATCTCAACACTCACATTTCATCCTTCATTTCTCACTCTTTCAGAGTTCCTTTCATCAATATTTAATTCCTGCCAACTACATGAATCAATGAGGCCTTTTTCAGATACTGATAATTAATGTCTGGCTCCTCCAGGGGGCACTACAACTTTACATTATTATTATTATTATTATTCTTGTTTTGTTTTTGTAATAATCCCAGAGAAAGTTACAAGGAAACCAATTTCACTTGTATCAGTTGTGTCACTCGGGTAAAAGCCACCAAAAAGCTGATGAATTGCCGACTTCCTCAGACGATCAAATCCGTGGTCCAGACACAGTGGTTGGTGAAAGGAAGTAAAAAGGAAGGAAAGCCCCACTTGAGGCCGTCAGGGAGCGGGCCGTAGGGTTCAGGGTTTCCACCGAACGGCCTGTTGGTAAAATGGTGCTCGGATAGCTCAGGGTAAAAGTTTGAGAATATTTTCAGATTGCCTCACACAAGTTCTGACTATTTAGTAAGATTGGGTTTCATAGTTCATATGAATGATAAAAATAAATGGTCTTTAGAGGTCTTCAGAGAGGCATGTATTCACTCTAAAAAAAAATGCTGGGTTGTTTTAACCCAATTTTGGGTCAAATATGGAGAGTTGTTGGATTATCAAATCCAATTTATAAATTTAACCCAACAGCTGGGTTTGTCCATATTTGACCCATGATTGGGTTAAAATAACCTAGCATTTTTTAGAGTGTTATTCATTTAAAGCAAAAAGCTCAAATTAATTTTTTAAATCATGGATTAATTTTAGTGAATCATCACAAACCTATTTGACACCTTGCAGTCTATGATAGCTTATTTGATTTACATTCACCACAACAGTTTTTATTGGTCTAGAATTCAAATATAGTCGTATATGAAGTGAATGTGCAGTTCATCATTCATAAAGTAAATAAAGTTGAACGAGTGCCTGATGGTTTTGGTGTTAATGTCTCACTTCCCTCTCTGTTTCCCCTCAGGCTAGGCCTAACACAATGTGTTAAACCAAACCCTTACTGTCGGGCCAGCTATTAATACCCTCTCTCTCTCTCTCTCTCTCACACACACACACACACACACACACACACACGCAAATGTAAGTGCCGCTATCATATACAGTCTATATACAGTAGCTGACACACACAGATCTATTTCTTACTATTTTCCAAACTTCTCCATTTGATAACTTCTGTATTACAAAGATCTCAATTTTTTTTTTTATAAAACTAAAATAAATATGCTTACACTGCTTGCACATATGGAAATTTTTTCCAAGCTAATAGTGTTTTACATGATTTTCAACTATACTTAAAGACGAAGATGCCACATGCAAAGAAGAAGAGCTGTCTTGTGGCAATAATCGGGGCAATCTCAAATCTCCATTACTGTAAGCATTTAGCAACAAATTTTCCAGTACGTCTTCTGACTGCTGATTTCTGGTCAGTTTGAAAGGTCAGATAATCAGTAATGAGAATGCAAGATTTCTTTAGGAACATGATACTGGTTTCAAGCTGGCCAACCTGCTAGACACTTCTAAAGTGAAGACAACAAGCCTCAAAGAAGCATACTAACGGCACACACACTTATACTAACTATGTTTTACACACACTATACTAACAGAGTACACTGTACTCATAGTGGTCCACTAGTATACCAGTCCCTTCAATATTAAAGGAAAGAGTTTCTGTAGTGTGAGCAAATAAAGTCAAGTGTCGGTTTGGGATCTGAGGAAGAAGGGAAACCCCATGAAGAACTTCACACTGGGTTTCCCGGAGGTTCCCTCGCACTTCCAGTCAACAAATATGATTTCATCAACTCTACAGTACTGGAAAGTGCCAATTTTCCTGATGGATCAGCAAAAAATTAAATAAGAAAAATACATGGTAGTCTAATTACCTGAAGATTTTATGCACGTAATACCACAAATTTGAGTTGATGTAAAGCACTTAGTAAAATCTCAGATTTTCAGATGAGAAAAAAACTTTTTTTTTTGTATATCTGGTATTAAAATATTTTTATGAACAATATTATCAATTGTGCTGTTGAAATAAATGTAGAGAAGTGTAATTATTCTGAAGACTGCATTACAGAAATTAGAGGAACACCAGTTAATAAGCAGTACTTAGTAAAAGTCAGATTATTGACCAGTTCTCATTTTACTAAATTACAAATGCTACAATGAGAGCATTAGATTGCATAGTATAAAAATGGCCCCTAAACCTCATTGTGGCAACAAGAGACTTGCAAGAAAAGCCACAGAATTCATTAGCTATGTCATTACTCCAACAAAAAATACGTAAAAAAAAAAAAACCTTGGGTCTGCCAAAAAGCTAAAGTTATATTTGTTGTGCAAATTTAAGAAAATTGAAAAAATAAATAGCACAAAAGAGAAAAATACAGCACAAAAATATTATTATGTCCTCTGAACTGCACTTTCAGCAGGACAATGATCTTAAACTCATTGAGTGGCTGAAGAACATGAAGGTGAACGTCTGACATTGGCCCAGATTTCAACTCAAATTCAAAAAAAAAAAAAAAAAAAAAAAAAAAATCTGACTACCCGAAAACCCTGAAGTCTGGGAACATATAGAAAAAGGGATTCACAACGGCTCCAAAAAGTAATTGAACACTCAGCCATGCATACCAAATGTTTCACAATCACATTTATAATACAATTTAATACATTGTTAATAATAATTAAAATTAAATAAAACTAAAAATATTCAATTAAGCAATTTATACAAAATAAGTTTCAGTGCTTTGAAATAAAATAATCGCAGATAATGCATCTGAATCCATTCGCAAAGCACTGTAACATAAACTCTTCTATTTATTCTGAAATTCAAGATTCAAGACATATATATTCTGGAATTTCAGTAACTTTGCATAGCACTTCCTTTCAGTTTCTACATGCTGACCTTCTTGGTCTGATGACCAGAAACGTCCCTGCGTTTCTAACGAATCCATCAATAAAACTCAGAAGAGACCAACCTGGCAACCGCAGAGATGCTCTGGACAACATACCTGGCAACCACATATGGGAATAATCCATGGATGCAACAGGACCGGTCTTTGTCATGTTGATGAATATGTGTGCACTCGTTCAGTGAGGTCCTCTTCCTCTCTCACACATGCACACACTCGCTCTCTGTCTCACTCTCTCCGCTTCTCTTTGACGGCCGAGGAGGAGGAACAAACTGATAACAACTCTCCACTCCTCCTTCTCTCCTCCCTCCGTCACCTCCTCTCTAACGCTGTACCCACCCACACCTCCGCCCCCTCCTTGCCCACTTCCTGACCCCGAGAGAGCAAGAACAGGGCAGGTCAGAGCAGACATGCCACATTTGCACTTACAATACAATGCATTTTTAAACTCGTAAGTGTGTTACAGGTCGTCGTTTCATCGGGCGAATTTGGGTGACGGTCGCTTTTGGAGGATAAAAGCCTGAGGAAGGCGAGCAGGATGCTGAGCGAACGAAGGAGGAAGTGAAGCGCTGTCGATCGGTGGGCTGAGGAGTGGGGTCAGGTGAACTGAGAGAGGATGAATGAGGTTGAGAGTGGGAAGCTGGCAGTGAGGAGTGAGAGATGAAAAATAAGCAGATGTTAAGAGATAGAGGTGAAAAGAGGGGGAGAGTTGTGCCGCTGGAAAGTGCTGGGGTTGCTGGAAAGAGTCGCTCACGAGTCCTTGCGGTGGCTCTCTCGGCCTCTCTCGCACACCCGTGTCACTACTACGTATTTCTACTGTAGCTATATCAACTCATCTGTCACAACACAAGCCTCCATCAGAAAATACAGAATGCTCACACGACTTTTTTTCCAACCTCACACGTCCACACTGGGGTATGAATCACCCCAAAACAAAGCAGAGAAAGCAAAACAAGCATGTAAACCATTTGTGCTATAAAACTGAAGCAGGAAGCAGGGATGGATCACAACCTGTACTGTTCAGTGACTGGCCTAAATAACTGTCCTAAATACATGTCCTGCATCAGAGAACAGCGTCGACACATCATTATTTTTTTATTTCATTTATGTGGTTATTTTCACATTTGAGAAAATTAGGAAAGTTATTATATGCTATGAAATAACACAAATAGAGGTATCCTGGAATGCTTTTTTGAAGTGTTACTTTTCACTATTGGGGCCAATTAAAATCTCTTAATTTAAATTAGTCTAGAAAATTAATTTAAACATGAGAATTTTAAACAAAAAGGATTTTTACTGGTCATGTATCTGTTCATTTAGTTTTTTTGCAAGTATTTGC